AGGACACCAAAACAGAGTCTCAGCCCGGGCTCTTCCTTGCCTCCCACAGCATCCTTGGCATCACAGGTAAGGCACAGAGTCAGGTGGTACCAGCTTCAAAGACACATTGTGATAGACTGGTAAAGATACATTTTCAAGCAGGGTCTGGCAAGATGGCTCCATGAGTAAAGGCACTTGCCACTGAGCCTGGTGAGCTAAGTTTTATTTAACCCTGGGACCCACATGGTTGTCCTATGAAGTCTATATGTGCTGTGGCATGTGCACATATACACATGTAATTTTAATTTTTTTTAAGAATTCCAAATAGTATCACTTATAAATGAGGGGAAAGCCTAAGAATAGTTCACATTGAGAATTAAGCAAAGATTTATGCACACTGGAGTATCAGCCATTGACAGTAATGGTGTAGATATGGGTACTGGAAACTGCCCCAATATACTGGCAAATGAGGACAATTAGTTAGAAAGCTGGTGGGAGGAGGAAACAAGTGTGAGTTTCCTAGGGAGAAGTGCAGAGAAAGCCACACTAAGATGCAAAAACTACTGGAATTTGGGTAATTAATTTTCCCCCTGATTTTCCTATTGGACATCAAGTATTATCTGCCCAATTTTTTTTAAATGGATGAAATAAAGCAATTTAATCTTTTCCATTTTTACAACACACCCTGGCCCGTACATACATTTATGACCTCTCAGCCATGATGACAAACTCTCTACAAGCCAGGTATGGCGGCACACATCTGTAATCCCAGCAGACTTGCATCACATCTGGCTTCAATAGAGCATTTTAGGTTTTTAATTAGGTCTGTTCAACATGTACTATACCAAGGCAAGACACAGACAAGATACTCTAACTCCAACTTTAATCACTAAATTCTTCCTCATCACTAAAATATGTGCTCCCCCCAACCCCTTTGTAACTTATTTTCCTCATTTAAAAATACATTGGGGATGCTTTTTAATGTCAGTATCTATATTATTACTGTCAATGGTTGGTATTCCACTGTAAATAAACCCTTGCTCAACCCCAAATCTGAGACATTCTGGGATGTTTTGTTGTATTTGTTTAATTACTACAAACACTCATTGGGAGGTTGAGGCATAAAAATCACAAGTTAAATAGCTAAATAAATAAATAGCAAGACTTAAGTCTCAACACACTCAACACACCACAGATTGTAACTAGACTCTCAAATGTGTATCGTAACTGTAAGGAAAACTAAAAAATAGAGCCAATCTGCAAACATTCCCCACCCCCCGAACTATTTCCTTACAACAGTTTGTATCTGGGAAAGCCAGATAACCAATAGGGTCTTTGATAGAGAGAAAGCAGAAAACACTTTTCTAAAGGATAGCAAGAGAAATGGATGCATGTAATTTCAAACCCAAATCCAGGCTTTCCCACATGCACTGAAAATGATTCTGAGCAAATTATTTCTAATATTCCTACCTGTGAAATGAAAAAAATAGTCCTGATCCTCATTGCAGACACAGCAATTAGAAGCACAAAGAACAACACTTGCCATAATTAGCTGTTCAATGAAAACTATCAGTACATATTTAAGAGCACAGATTCTAAAACTTTAAAGAAACAAAAAAAAATCAAGATTTTTCTTTTCTTTCCTTTTTTGAGACAGGATCTTTCTACTATACAGCTCTGGCTGTGCTAGAACTTGCTGTGTAGACCAGCCTGGCCTCGAACTGACATCGGGGTTCTATTAGAGCACGGCATTGAATTTGAGTGTCACTGCCAGGTGGGAAACAAAGGAAAAATCAGCAGAGATTATCCAGAGGAGGTGGAGACAGAGTGTAAGGAAAAGTGGATGAGGGGCTGACTAAGGAAGGGATTGGGGTCAAGGTCTTGAGTTTGCCTGAAGATAGGCTTCTCCTTACGGAAGACACCCTACAAGCCTCAGCCGGTAGTAAGAGGGCGCCATTCTTCCTGGACACCCCTACTCCCAGGCTGAAGCAACAAGAAAAGGGAGCTTTGGGGGAAATTCTGAGAAAGGCCTCGACATTTCGGGATCTTTCTACAGTCATCTACACTCCACATCCTAGCCCCAATTCTTCCAATTCTCCTACCCCGGGTCGCGCGAGCTGCACCCAGGGCCCTCAGGGTGACGGTCACCCCGTAAAGTCGCACACAGTGGATGCCCAGGGCCAACCTCACCCGCTCTTCACACTCCCCTCGCTCAGACCTTTCGAGGATGCTCGCCCTGGCGCCCCGCGCCCCGCGCATGCGCCTAAGGCCCCCGCCAATGCCCGCGACGGCGCATGCCCTCAAACGTCAGGGGCGGAGCTCAGAGGAACGCGGCCGGAAAGGGCGGGAAAGTCCTCGATTGGCGGAGGGCTTCCTAGCGCGCAAGTCTACCCCTGAGCATCTCCTCCCTCCCTCGACAGCAGCCTGGAAGTCCCCTCAGGCACCTTTCGCCATGAGGGATGAGGGCCTCGCGGCGGTCCGCCGAATGGTTCTGGTTCACCGCCATCTTGCTCCTGGTCCCCTCCCGCCACCGCCCCGCCCTTCAAATGGGAAGGGGGCGGGGCCTGCAAAGCAGGGGGCGGGGCCCTGAGGAGAGGGCGGAGATTATGGCGCAGAAACCTGGAGTTGAGTGGACAGCTGTCACAAGAGGAACTGCTGGAGTCAGGGGCCAGGGAGCCCTGATGAGGGAGAGGGGCATGTTCGTGGAACTGGCTCCACCCCTAGAGCGGGGAGGGGCTGAAGGATGGGTGTGTAGATCTACCCTACAGTTTGCTGTGTAGACCTACAGCCAGGCCCCCCTTGGTCCTGCTAGGAGCTGGGGGTTTAAAAAGCATCCATTAGGGCTGGAGAGGTTCAGAGGTTAAGAGCACTGGCTGCTCTTCCAGAGGTCCTGAGTTCAATTCCCAGCAACCACATGGTGGCTCACAACC